GCGGCGGACTCTACACGGGAGCCGCAGAGCTCTGAAGGATTCAATCTTTGTATCATCTAGCACCCATATCTTATACATATGCTTTGATCTGCGCCATCCAATTACTGCATGACCTATAATGAAAAATCGGATGGAGCTCCTTGAACTCAATGGGTTGGTTTTGATTGAAGAAGACACTGGCGTGAGTTTCTGAAAGCTAATTATATCCAACTGAGATGTCCGGGCATTTGAAGTGGAGTAATGTCCTGCAACGAGGCGTCTGGCTTAGCTCGCTAGTCTTGTACCACGAACGTTACTCGTCCCTCGATAGATGATTTGGATTGAGCCCTCAAAAGGTCGCAGCAAGACACGCCCGCGCCCAGGAGACTTGAGCTGATCAGCTGACCTGAGCGATCAAGTGCACGTGATGTGACGCGACGCATATTTCCTCTTTCGTTCTCAGGGACAGCCCAGTGTCTTCTCATTCACCACCATGTCGAGCTCATCGCGGACGACGGCGAGCTCTTCACCTCTCACATCCATCGCACCTTTTTCAACGACCTCCACGCCTCGTCTCCAAGCCCTGTACTCTGACTTCTCACGCCAGAAACACTCAAATCCAACCTCATACCACTCCAACATTGAATGGTGGCGGAAAGCGCTCCAGGGCATCGTCAGCAATGGACTACAACAGCAGACCCACGAAGATGATACGCCCAGTGGTGATAGACTCGTCCTTCATGCCGGACGGGAGCTCTTGGACCTCGTCAAGATACCCAAAGTGGGCAAGCCACTAGCGCTCGGAGCCGTCCTCGTACGTTCTACATATTAGACCACCTACCAACTTGGGAACCTGACCGAGAAATCTGGACCAGCAAGTCTGAACTGCGCGTAACCAAGTCCGTGATCCTTTTACCCGAATTCCTCAGTGCGAAAGTGTCAATATACAACCCCGGGTGGCTCCCTACCCGCATCGCCGCCTACGTCGTCGGGAAGCCGCTCTGGTGGGCCCTTGAACAGATGGGCGTGGTGGGCGAGGAAGGGCTTTTGGGATCGGGGAGTCGGCAGCATCATCACAAAGATACCTCGTGGTGGGGAGAGTATGTCCTCGTGCCTCTGGTTGAGAGGGCGGCGGATGCGGTGGTGGAGAGACAGGAAGCGATGATGGCGAGCCCGGGAGATGCGTTGTATACCATGGAGAGCTTTAGGGAGGCTTTTGCGGGTATTGGAGGGGTTGAAGATGACACTGCATTGAGGGAAACAGATGCAAAGGTGTTGCTCAAGTATCTGCAACGTGACCGCGGTGTAGTAGCGGTGGACAAAGACGTACGTTTACTATATAGAGCTCTACTGACATCGATGCTGAATAAAGCCTTCTTCGCAGGTCATTAAATTCATTGATAAATACGCATCGGCAGAGCAACATGAAATTACGGCTGTAGATCGAGGTATCCTGGAACTGAAGAGCGCCATACGCAACCTGCGTGTCCAAGTGGAGTCACTGCAGTCGAAGATGGACGAGTAGGTTTACTTCATCATTCTGTGAACCCAGCTCATGAATTTGGTTGGATTATTAGGTGTACGAAGAAGGCGTCTGCAGCTCTTCAGCAGAAAAGAAAACCAGTAGCGCTGAGCTACCTTCGGTCTCGAAAACATCTCGAGGACATCCTTTCCAAACGTCTTGGCTCGTTGAGCACCCTAGAATCAACGTTCGCTACCGTAGAAACGGCAGCGGGAGATGTAGCGGTATGTCTTTCACCCCATTTCGTATCCGTCTTGGTCTAACTAATACATAATATCTCTAGATAATGAAAACCTACGAATCATCCACAGAGACACTCCGTGCCATTCTTGCGCACCCATCATTACAACGGTCGCACATCGACGAAACGATGGAGGCACTGGCCGAAGCCAACGCAGACGCGCGCGAGATAGACGACGCAGTTCGTGCGGGTGGTGATGTCGCGCTTGGTGTTGAGGATCTTGTGGACGATGATGAAGTTGAGGCAGAGTGGAGGGCGATGGTACAGGAGGCAGAAGCTGCGGATAAATTGAAGAAGGAGGCTGATGATACGGGTCGGAAATTGGCTGGGGCATCGCAGGTCCCCACCGAGAGTCCATCAAAGGATTCGAAATCGAAATCTACAGAACAGTTGGCACCGGTAGTGGCATCATGAAACGACTTAAATAACTTCACGGTCAAATCTTTGGCATGATCACCCGAGGGGTTGGCAAGGAATGGTCGTGAATTAAGTTCCGCAGAAGTAGTCCTGCAGACGATTTAATATTTCATCCATCCCACATGTAGCGCAGGGACCATTATAGATATTGTCAATACGCATCAATAGAATTGCATGTATCCTTGCAGTGGATGAAGACGAATGTATCAAATATTGATCACACTTGAAAGTAAAGCAGTCTATGCGTGAATTGATGACCATGATAATGTTACAGGGCAATGAACCCGGAGCACAAGATATTACAGCGATTTATACAGAGCATTATGATACAATTAGGTGCTGTTGTTGTTGTTGCCCATGCCTACGGCGTTCTTGGCCTTGTTGAGCATCGAGTCCTGTTTGAATGATATCAGACACAGCTAAGTATGGCGATGCAATACAAGACAACTCACGGAGTTCTCGTTGGAGTTGCCGCTGGCGGTGTCACCCAACCTCTGGGAACCAGACTTCTGGGACTGTTTTAAATGGATCAGATATTGCGTGGTGAAAGACTGAGAAATTGAGGACTGACGTTGGGTTGCATGGAGGAAGCCATGGAGTCAGCTGTGCCCTTGAGCTTGTCACCAGCCTGCTCGAAGGTGCCTTTCTGGGAGTCGGGCTACAGTGCGTAGATTGTTAAAACAGTCGACATACGGACACCGGGAATACATTACCTTCATGGCAGAGCCAGCTTTGTCGGTGAATGATTGGCGGCCGGCGTCGGACATAATGTTTGATGAGAGTAAACGATCTAGAGAATAAACGATCAGGAACGAGTATGAGGCAACGAGGGCATGTAAATCTGACTTGGTTGTAATTGAAAAGTTGTCTGAGGTGTTGGGAATGGAAGGATGAGGATAAATCTTAGACCTGGTCGCCATTTTATAGCGTTTCTCCAGCGCGCTTGAGGTGACGTAGCGTGACGCAACTATTCGGGGATGACGCGCAGATCCACACATGACTGCGTCGCGGATCCACCTCTGCTTGTTCGCATAAGGGCATTTGTTATACACATCCGGATCATCAGCGTCCATTGTCGCTTCCTAGACATCGCCCGTATGGACAAGAGAGGCATGAGACGCGTCTGCACACTCCCCGCTTCGAAATACACTCATTCCGTGCTCCAAGTTGACAGAAGTAATAGCAGTCTGTCAAGGAGTGCAAGATATGCGGTGTGAAATGCATGCAGGAACGTGATTTCCGTGTGCGGAGCCAACTGAAGAGCGCGAAGGTAGGTGGACCAACTGGGAATCATATGTGCGCCACGCTAATGACAACACGTGACAACAGATGACGCCCGTTTCTGATCATTGCTCTCCGAGTGCAGGCTAGGACTCCGATGGCACCAGTACGACTCCGGCATCCGAAGGGTGTCTCCACTATCCAGGTCGAGTTCGAGAACCCGCAGTTCACCGTCCAGGACCTGCAGCAGGAAATATTCGCTGCAACCGAGATCACACCCTCCCGCCAGATCCGTACGCATTCCTCAATTTCTAGTCGTACATTGCTCATTCACTATATCAGTCAAATCGGGATATCCACCGCGCCCACTAACAATTGTCCCAGAGCTACCTCTGGACTCGCTTGGTTTGCAAAAGGGTGATCAGATCATTGTTAGCGAATCACCCGATTCATCAGCGCGTACACCTGCCTCGCCACCCCGGGTTCCATCGCGTCCTGCGCCTCCGTCGGCACCGTCCCAACGTCCCATTCCGACACAACCATCATCATCACCATCTCAGCCAGACCATGTCGCTGTCGACGGGAGCTTCCTCGTTCACAGGGTAAGTCTCGATCATTAGCTTGCCTTCCAACATTCCTCATGACATGTGCACAGATAGTACCGGACGACAATTCATGTCTCTTTTCATCTGTCGCCTTGATCTTTGAGCAAAGTATATCCAAGGCGCCACGGATGCGTGAAAGTACAGCCACTCAACAGTCAAGCAGAACATGCGCTGATCAACTTCTGCCTCAGTTATTGCAGATGGCATAAAAAACGACCCAGAAACATACAACGAAGCCATTCTTGGGTACTTACCCATTTCTCTCGCAACGATGCAAAAGACTCAGACCCTGATCTCATCAGAATGCCGCCCTCACAATACATCGCCACCATATCCAAACCTACCTCCTGGGGCGGCGCCATCGAGCTTGGGATCCTCGCAGCCCACTACCGCACAGAGATCGCAAGCGTAGACGTCGAAACCGGTCGGATAGACCATTTCGCACCTGCCGGAGCCGACGGTACGATGCGCTGTATCCTCGTCTACTCTGGCATCCACTACGATGCCGCCACCCTCGCTCCTATGGTCGAAGCTCCCGCGGAATGGCATCAGACGCTATTTCCTGTGGTACGCGTCTTACTTCATTCGGGATTACCGACTTCGTTCCAGGTGAACTGATGTTATTTCTAGCAATCTGCAGGTGATTCCGATCCCATTCTAGTAGCTGCCAAGAAACTGGCGGACATCTTGCGGGGAAAGAAGGCGTTCACGAACACATCGACGTTTGACCTGAAATGTGAAGTGAGTTGGCTTTACGTCGCCGATCTGATCTGTTACTCAAAACGAGACTTGAAATCAGGATTGCGGACAAGGTTTGAAAGGCGAGAAGGGTGCGCGTGAGCATGCAGAGCAGACTGGTCATGTACGATTCGGAGAATATTAGAATACTGGGGACTTTGAAAAACCCACTTTAACACATCGTTCAGAGCAAAATGGAGGGGGTCAGGTAGTGGGAAACGGTATCACGACATACTATTAATGTTATGCTGATCCTGAGGAAGAAGCAAAACAAAAATGGGGGCACCGCGGATCGAACGCGGGACCTTCAGAATACAACTTGTGTTGCTTCAGTCTGCTGCTCTCCCAACTGAGCTATGCCCCCAGATGACAAGTTTGCCAAGCGCCCGTTCACAAAACTGCAATCGTTCAGGAGAGCTTGGAAAAGGAAGACTCCCACAAGGAGCAAAAGATGGGGGCACCGCGGATCGAACGCGGGACCTTCAGAATACAACGTGTTGCTTCAGTCTGCTGCTCTCCCAACTGAGCTATGCCCCCTGTTGAAAGTTGACGGAAGGGTGCCATAATCAGCCTGTCTGGAATGTGTATCTGAGAAGTACTCTTCGTAGTTGCCTCGTAGCCTTTCAATAGCTGAGAAGATAAAGAATTGAAGAATTCAGGAGCAGGAAATACCGGATCTGTAGCGAGATAACGGAAGGACCTGAAATGAAAATAAGAACGTCAGAACAGGTACATTGATTCATTATACATTGATTGATTCATAGGGTTCCCTCAATTTCCATAACCAGGGGACAGTGATCAGAAGCACCGTAGATTTCGTCCCGGATCTCGCACTATTGAATCGGTACGATAAGCCAACGTTCTCAAAGAAAGCTCTGGAAAGCCTCTGGGCAGGGCATCACTAACCATCTTAACACGCCCCCACAACCGTTCGCTCAGCACAACTGCAAATTCGCAAATGAATCAATGAGCATTGTTTGTTGCTGTCGAGCCTGCAGGGATTGGACTCACACATGTCGAGCCTCCAACCGATACCTTTCAGCCTGCAGTTGAACCTATACGAGAAGTATGTGTAATGCTGCTTCTCTGGATTTAGCTTCCTCCAGACGTCAATAAATTTGTTGGCTTCTGGGTCGTCGGGTGATTGCAGAATGTTCTTGAACGCGGTAGTCTCGACTTCGGTATAACCGGGTGTCTTGTTCCAGTTCTTTTTGGCGTTCGTCAGATCTAGAACGAAAGTAGCAATGTTAGAGGTGTTTGCTTTAACAAGAGAGCAGGGTCATACCGATTTCAGTTGGGGCCACGTTTAGGTCTCCGGTCCATATGACGGGTTTCTCCTTGTCTAGTTGACGAATGTACGCGTCGAAATGTTTATTCCAGACTTTCTTCTCTTCCAAGGTCTGTCGCACGAGATCAGACCGTGTAAATTGGGGAAAGCTGCACGTCGAACGTTACCTTTAGCTCAGTCCCAGCATTCACGACATACGTGCCTATCAAGAAACACGTCTCAAATTCCAATGTGATGATTCTGCCTTTCACCGCCTTCGGATCCGGATGTCCTGGGAGTGTCATATCCACACTCAAAGGTTTATGTTTTGAGAGAATGGCAGTGCCAGCTAAACATTTCAAACACGATGAGCAATGCGTATTGACAAAATAGGGGACGGAGTACAATATGTCTTCTTTTCTGATATTGCCCAATATTGATGGGGGAAGCGCGTCTTCAACGCAGGGTCTGCTGGTATGTCATTAACCTAGGAAATATGAGTATCTTTGCCTTGATTTATCCTGCCAAGTTCACCTTAGTCTCAGTCAATACGAGGATGTCAGGGTCTTCAGCTGCCACGTAGAATTTGAATCCCTTCAAAGGAAACGCTCAGCACTTAGAGTACCCAATTCGGTTGTTCAGCTCACTTTCTTTGAGCTGGCAGACAGGCCGCAGATGTTCCATGCCGCAATACGTGTTGTGCCAGGAATGCGAGGAGGGAACGAAATGTTGACAGGGAGGACTTTGTTGGTCGGCTGTGCGCTTCCTGGTGGAGGAGGCGCGTCTTTCTTGGCTTTCTTTTTCGAAGGTTGTGATGGTTGAGACTGTGATTGAGATTGAGATTGGAGTTGAGACTGGGATTGGGATGCTTGGCCGTCCTCAAAATCCTCGTCATCCGAGTTTTCAATCTTGCGCTTTGAGGAGGTGCGAGATATCGCAGGAGGCATGGTCGTAAACCGCGAGAGATAATTTATGTTCGATTCCTTCACTTGTAGGACTGGCCGGCGACTAAGGAAACTCGCTCTGGCAGACACAAGAAAGAATACAGGAGGTACAGTGCGCAGGAGCATTCAATATCGGACGCGACCGTGACGTGACGAATATAGAGCTGTACACGTGACCAAACGCGATCGGCGGCGAATGATCCGGTTTTGGAAATAGATTGCGTTCACAGCAGCCGAAAGTTCAACTTGACCCAACTTTTTTGATTTCTTAGACAGAGCAAGCAGGAATTGCCTAGTCCTGTCCTAGTTTTTATTTTGTGATTGGTGTGTTGGGTCTGTCTCCTCTGTACATGCAGTAATCTCTGACACTGCGCAGGAGACCTTTATTGTTCACCCGCGAGAGGCGGTGGCTCTTTTCCCTTCATAATCATAAACCCCAACTCCATATATCATGCTCACCCATCGTGGCTTCTCAGCATGGATAACGTCAAACAATGAGGAAGTCCCAGAGTATCTTGTGGCTGTCGATGAGAAAGCCCACTGCGTATCATGTTGGATCCCTGGCACAGAGGGTCAGGTGTGTTCGTCTTTTGCATCCATGCTCTGTAATCACACTCATGGTCATGTACAGACATTCACAGTCTATTGGAGCGATAATGACGGCAAAGTTGATACCTGTACTTTTATCACGCTTGATGGAATGGTCGTGCCGGGACGTTTTCTACTTGGGAATGGGACCAGCAAGAGAAGCGGAGTTAGGACCTCGGAGACCACTGAGAGACCTTTTATGTTTAGAAAAGTGGAAGATCCTGGTGCGCCTCTCCGTTGTGCCCGTCTGTGTCGTGATGTTTCAACGTCTCGTAGCTAGTGGATCTTCATCAAGTAAGGAAGCAGGGATGATTACTTTGAAGGTCAAAAGAATCAAACGCCTGCTGGACCGTCCAGCGAACTCTATCCGATCCATACCAGACACAATTCTGGGAAAACGTAAAGCGGGTGAACTCTGTGTTGGGTGAGCCATTTCCTAGAAATCTATCACCGCATAATATCTCATGTTGGTTGTAGATTCGGACAAGAGTATAGAGTTCAAGACCGATCTCCTTCGACCTGGGCTGTCATTCCTTACGACCAAGACGTCCCCGGCGCCACGAAACCTCGTACATTTGTCTCATTTGTCTTCAGATATCGGTCGCGTGGTAAGTGTATACCCGAGATTGGTGAACTGGTTTTTGCTGATCATTCGCTGATGTAGAGTTCCTGGAAAGTCAAGGAATAGCTCCGCCTGTCGATGAGAAGCGACCACCTCCACCTCCGAAGGCCCTGCCACCTGCTAAACGCATGGCCAGTTTGCCCCCACATGCACTTTCCCAGCCTGAGCTATCTCTGGAGCCACCTCTCAAGAAGCCGAGGCTCATGCCTCAAACAACATTACCTTTCCCTGTATGTATCAAAACGCTGTGACGTGTGCATTTCATTCTGACTTGTGCTATAGACTTCAGCTCGTCGTCCTTCTGCTGAACTACGGAGGACAGCAAGCTGGACTGCGACCCAACATACTACAGGCGGGTATGAGGGTGAAGCTCAATTCTTTTTGCCTCGCAATTTCACAATGCCGGCAATCACCAGCATCCGACCTCCTGGGTCTGGAACATCCACTGAAAGTCCTGACACTGGCACTGACGACTCTACTGAGGAGACAATTTCTAGATATCTGTGATATGTACGTTTCTAAGATCGTGCATTTGTTTTCGTTCCTTCTACCTGCTCTCATTTGTTGCTCTCATTTGCTTTATGTCGTTATTGTTTTCGTTCTTTCTACATGTCTTTTATCGAACTTGCTTTGTAGTTTTTATGTAGCTATCGCTGTGTGTTGCTGCCAATAAAAATAAATATATGTGGACATCTTGTTTCCCATTCCAGTCCCGGGACTAATTCGGCTATCGGAAATAGAGGCAAATAGCGCGCTCCGACCTCTGGCTTGAACTCGCTTACAGCCTTGATACAAACTTTCTATCTGGTATACGGCGGTGCTCTTGCTCTACTTATTCTCAAAGTATGAATTCCAATCTGCCTTCTTCCGGGATTGTCTTGCACATATGGCCAGGTCAATGGGGACTCCCATCTTTCGACCCGCAATGTCTAGCAGCCGTTCTCTACCTCCAACTGGCCATTCCTGGCAAATTCCGCGTAATAGAGTGCTCTAATCCAGACTATTCACCCACTGGTATGTACCCTAATGCTCTATCATGGAGAAATCGCGAATTGTGGACGGCTAGGACAGCTACCGTTCCTGTTGCACGACCAACATGTTGTCGCCTCGTACACGTCGATCATCAAATATGTCTCAGGCTTACAATCGTCTGAGAATACAACTTATCCCAACGCCGACCTGGACAGCCATCTCACAATCTCGAACAAAGCTAAAAGGACTGCGTGGTGTGCGCACGCCGAATCTCATTTAGGAGACCTAGTTGTAAGTGAGCCCATTCCGCGTCAGTCCCTGTTCTGTTTGACGATTCGAATCGCTCAGTATCACAGCCTTTACTCAATGAACGAAAACTGGACAAACTTGACTCACACAGCCCTAGCCGCTCTGTTCCCTGTTCCGCAGAAATATTATGTGCCTCGTCGAATACGCGACGCGTATATTCCAAGATTGGAAGCGGCTGGGCTTTGGAATCTACCTATAGAGGATACGCCGGCAGACAAACCTTTCAAGAAAGAAGGAGCCCCCGCACCCAAGGAAGGATTGAAGAAAAATGCCACCTTGTCGCAAGCGTTCGAGCGTGAAAAAGTGGGTCCCTCTGAGTCCATCTATTCTTCGAATCTGCTTCTCAACCTTCTTGGACGCAAAGGTGACCGCAAAAGCTCGAACAGAGCTCGACCTTTACGAGCAACTCTTAAGCAATAAACAATACGTTTTCTCAGACCAGTAAGCTACTGTATGTCTTCCGAAGCGTTCACATCTAATTTGCAAGCAATCTTGTCAGGCCTTCGTCACTCGACATCATCATTACTGCTCACATTCTTCTGCTATTGAATCCACCTTACCCGGATCCACAACTCAAAAACCTCGTCAATGATTCGTATCCTGCCCTCGCTTCTAGCTCGCGACGGATATTTTCTCAAGTGTTTGAAGATGGCAAGTCGACA